GAAATGATGCTGGCGTCGGTCTACTGACCGGACGCTGGGTCACTCAACGACCGGACGCTGAAAGGCTGTGTCCGGTCGAGCTGTCAGACGGCACAGTGGGTAGGGTTGAGCACCGGACGCTGGTCTACGTCCGGTCAAGGTGGACCGGACGCATCCGGTCGAAAAAAAACATGCCTCAGGGAGCTTACTGGAAACGACCGGACGCTGGGGCTTCAGCGTCCGGTCAGTTTTGACCGGAGCGTCCGGTCAGCTTCGTAGCCGTTGAAATCTGACGAACAATGTTTGAAGCTGGTGACGCGTGGCGTCCATCGAGCGACCGGACGCTGAGGGCCAGCGTCCGGTCGGTATGACCGGAGCGTCCGGTCAGAGCGTGTTTTGCCCAGTGAAGGGGTACAACGGCTCTATTTGATGGGGGCTCTATTTATAGCCCCATGGCCGGCTCAAGGGAAAACTCTTGCACATTTTCATTGACATAGCAACCTTGTGAACTTAGCCAAAACCCTCCCACTCATCTCCATCATTGATCCATCATCATTGTGAGATTGGGAGAGAATCTAAGTGCATTGCTTGAGTGATTGCATCTAGAGGCACTTGGTATTCGTGTTGCGCTGCGGATTTCGCTTGTTTCTCTTGGTGGTTGCCACCACCTACACGGTTGGAGCAGCGGTGAAGGATCGGCACGAGTTGGTGATTGTTCGTGGCCGCCTTCGGTGATTGTGAGGGGAGTTGTACCTTCCCCGGCGGAGTGCCAAAAGGTAACTCTAGTAAATTGCTCGTGTCATTGAGTTACCTCACTAGTGGGTCGGTTCTTGTGGTGTCCTATCGTGTGGACGAGGTTTGCGAAACACCTCTTAGCCGCCGAACCACCAAGTGTTGGTCGACACAACGGGGACTAGCGTGTTGGCAAGCACGTGAACCTCGGGAGAAAAATTGGTTGTCTCTTGTCATTTGCATTCTCCCGGTGATTGGCTATATATTCATCGTGTAATTGGTTCACTCCACGACCTGACGGTATAATCGTCTCACTTACTCATTTACATTTCCGCAAACTAGATATAGCAAGCTCTTTAGTGTAATTAGAATTGAGAGCTTGCCTTATGCTTTAAACATATCTAGTGGAGCTCTTTAGTGTAGCATTTGTGAGAGCTCTTAGTGAGTAGTGGTCAAGTAGATTGTGTGCAAATAGATCATTGCAACTAGAATTGTTGGATAGGTGGCTTGCAACCCTTGTAAAGCCAGAGCAAGTTTGCATTACGCTATTTGTCATACTAATCAAATTGCTCTAGTTGATTTGTAGATTTTTAAATAGGTTATTCACCCCCCCCTCTAGCCATATTAGGACCTTTCAACCATCTGGGGAGGTCCAGCCCACATGATTCAAGACTTGCGGCGCACAGCACTAGTCGTCGTACTCTGCAAGGCTTCCAGAGATATCTTGAAGATAGAGATAGATTCGATCAGATATTATAATCCAAATAGAATACTTACCATGTAACCGACTAGGATATTTTTCTTTTAACCCTACCCCTCTAGAGTATATAAGTAGGGGCAGGGGTCCCCTAGTCGGCATGGGCAATCCCACATCTCATCTCGTATTTCAGTAATACAAACCAACAGAGAACAGGACATAGGGTTTTACGTCACATTGATGGCCTGAACCTGTATAAATCTTGTGTCTCTATTACCATCTAGTTCCTGATCACGCGCACCTCTACCAATCAATCTACCATCGTGGGTAGCCTCCTCAATGGACTGCCGAGCATCTTTTATCGACACTAGTGGACCCACGACTCTTGGCAGTGGTGGTTATTGGGCAGTCGTGGGTGGGACGGGAGAGTTTGCTTATGCACAAGGTGTTGTTAATAGAAGGGTGGTTCAAAGCATGAACCACGGAGTCAATATTGTAGAGCTTGATATTCGTGTTGTGCCTGGTCACCTCTGCACAGTCAGTGAGATATAGTATTATTTGCCCCTCGTGTTCTATTATTTTCCTCATGTTCAGGCTTAGCTTCTAGCTAGCTCTCCCATGATTCAGACACATACAAAAATGAGTTTCTCATTAAGATTCTAACATGATATCTATTGAGCTCTAACATTACATACATACATGATGGACATGATGAAATGGACGATCTAGACAACCAGGGTGACCCCGACAACCAGGGCGATCTAGACAACCAGGGATACCCTAACAATCAGGGCGATTCAGACAACCATGGTGACCCCGACAACCAGGGTGATCCAAACAACCAGGGAGACCCTAACAATCAGGGCAATCCAGACAACCAGGGTGACCCCGACAGATAGGGCGATCCGGACAACCAGGGACACCCTAATAATCAGGGCGATTCGGACAACCAGGGTGACCCCGACAACCAGGGCGATCCGGACAACCAAGGAGACCCTAACAACTAGGGTGACCCCAACAACCACAACCAGGGGACCCTGACAACCAGGGTGATCCAGAAAACCAGAGTGACCCCGACAACCAGGGCAATCCGGATAACCAGGGAGACCCTGACAGGCAGGGTGACCCCGACAGCCAGGGGGACCCCGACAACCAGGGTGACTGCAACAACTAGGGCGATCCAAATAACTAGGGGTGACGGCCTGGCAGGCGACCTCGACAACCAAAGTGATCCGGACAACCAGGGTGACCCTAACAACCAGGGAGATCCGAACAACCAGGGGGACCCCAACAACCAGGGTGATCCGGACAACGAGGGTGACCCCGACAACCAGGGTGATCCGGACAACCAGGGTGATCCGGACAACCACGATGATTACGACAACAAAGGGACCCCGATAACTGTGGTGATCCGGACAACCAAGGTGATTGAACAATTAGGGTGATCCCAACTAGGGCGATCCGGACGACTGTAATGCGACCAGACAACCGAGACGACTAGAAGGAAGAGGAACATTAGGACTCAAATTAGTGCAAGCAAGTGCATCCTGTATAACAATAAAGAGGGTCTTTACTCCATGTCTTCCACTTTTGAATGTTCATGTACGACACATGTCTACGTGTTGTCCTCATTAATCCCCCACTGCACCATGTGGCCTACGAATAAAGTTTCAAGTGTGTGTGCTAATCTCCTTGTACTACTCCACAGGTTTTGTATGAAATAAAGTTTCAAGTGTCTAGATTGAGATGATATTACCAGCATTGGGTCCAAAGACTATGGGGATTGTCTTTGGTGGGATGAATTTCTTGTTTCTCCCTCCCTCCTTTCTTACCCCTTAGCAATGGTGGTGCTCCAAGGTGAGGGTGAGGATTGTGGTTGTCTTCCTTAGGTTGGCCTCCTCTTGCTTGGGTTTGATTGTAGTGCTCATTGGAATCTACAACTTTATAGTTGATAATTTTTTTACTAAATTATTTAGAGCGTGAAAATTCTTTTTTAAAAAGTTATATTTTGCAAAGTTAAAATTTAGAATATATGAAGTTATTTAGAATACTAAATATTCATTTTTAGATTTTAAAATTTAAAATTTAGTCTAGAGTCATTTGAAAACTCTAAAATTTTAAAATATAAGACAACATCGACAAATATAATTTAGCAAAGACAATATTGAATTGTATCCATCAACAAATACCAATGTTGAAGGATATCCTAAACAAATTTACTCTCGTGCTTACTGTTGCTACTTGCTAACAACCCCAGTCAAACTGTATGACTCATTTGCTTTCAAAAAGCAGGGTTAAACTTGATTAAAAAAACATTGTCAACATTAGCCCCAACCGCCCAAGCATCTGCATAATTTGCTTTCAAAAGGCAGGGCTAAACCTTGATTAAAAAAAAACATTAGCAACATTAGGCCCAACCGCCCAAGCATCTGCATAAGAAATTTGTAGAAACGTAAAGGGCCAGGAAAGCCCAGCAAGGCTCGCATGGGCCCGGCCCATGTGGATCGTACTGTGGCGCGGCCCCGCTTGTCCGTTCGTACTCCGGGTAGTAGTAAGTTGGCGAATCCTCTGGAACTTGAGCTTTCCGCTTCCTCCCACCGAGCCGAAGCAGAAACCTTCCTCGATCCTCCCTTCCCTCCTCCCTCGCTGTAATTCCATCGCCATCTCGTTCCCACCACACCGCACCCTGCCGCCATTGCTCCGGCTCCAAGCAAAATCCCGCGTGCCTCGTCTTGCCGCGCCCCCAAGCACTCCACCTTTCACCCGGCTGCCACTCTTCCCCAGTCCCCACCACACAAGGAAGGCGGAGGATTTTATCTAATCTTGCACGCGGGCGTTCCCGGCCCCCATTCTGAGCCTCCTGCGGCGTTTGGAGTCTCTCTGCCTGGGGTTCGTCCAATTTGCAGGTATTGCTCATTTGGGGTTGGGTTCGCCCTGTTATGAAAGCGCGGAGGTTTTGCGCACTGTTCGTTGGTAGCAATTCTACTGTATGTATCTTGTTCATTAGCTTGTCGCGTTTGTGAAGCGATGGATTCGCGCTGCGGGTTCGATGCCATCGAATAGCGTTCAGCCGGTGCGCGTCCCCCTGTATAAAGGGTTTACCCGAGAATGTGATGTTATCTGAATGACTGAATGCTGACGCCTCTTTCGGCAATCTGTAGCTTCCCTTGCCCCCCATGTTTTCTCAAGATTGCATCAGTTAACTACCCCAGACTGAGGGCAAGTAAAGAATAAAATTATATAGGTGTTGCATTGTTTAGTAGGCAACCGCCATATAAGAAGGTAATGAGTAACAATTCTCTAGCGAGTCATGTAGTCCGCAACCTCGTAGTTGTCATCATCTTGGTAACACTGATATCCTGCGGTCTTGCGGATAATTCCACAGTTCAAGACGCTATATATTTACGCTATATATATTGCTGTTGCCAACGGTCCGCGTGTGTTTTGCTGCTTCAACTGTTTGTGGTGAGATGGACTAGGTATTTGATTTTGGAGAATGCCTCTATTTCGAGGCTAATGCATCCATATTGTGCTGTGCTATTCCTGACATGCCACTTCTCCATTACTATGCAGCTTATACTAATTGAACTCAATGCGGCTCTACTCACCTGCACTCTGTTTGCGGCGATCAAGCACACATTCTCATCCTAACCAGTTCCGAGGAGGATTCACGCAGAGTATGGCCTCATGGAAGTGCCCGCACTCGCAGTCAAGCCTGTACCATCCGAAGTCGGGTTTAGTTGATTTTTCGCTTAGCAAGAATGTAAAGTCTTCTCAGCCACAAAGTATAAAGTACTTTGTCAACTTAATGGGCCAGCAGTTCCGTTGTGGACTGTCAACCAGAGAGGGTAGCCTAAGCGTAAAGCTTGACATTCCTTCGCACGAAAAATCAAGGATAGGTTGGAACTGGAAAAATATGCATCACAAGATAGGAGGTGCAGCAGGTGGACTCTGCTTTGGTTTTTCGGTTACTGGAGTAGCAAGCGCTGAGGTTCCTGTCATTAGGATCAAAGACAATGCCGAAACTTCATCATCATCTACCAGTTCAACTCATGGGAAGAAAGTCTACACAGATTATTCTGTCACTGGTAAGAAATGCTCACTTTTTTAATAAAAAAAGAAACAACTTCATGAATCATGTACTGCCCTTTACACTTCATAGTTACAATAGAAGAATGGGCGTTGACCTCATTTGTGACTGATTTACATGGATCCCCAGGTATTCCTGGAGATGGAAGATGTTTGTTCCGCTCTGTGGTACATGGTGCGTGCATTAGGTCAGGGAGACCCATACCTAACGAAGATCTTCAGAGAAAACTAGCTGATGACTTGAGAGCAATGGTAGGGCCGGGCTGCTTGTCGGCAATACTGACACTTTTAGCTGTCTACCATTCTTAATTCTTGAATTCCTAAAGAAAAGAGAGATGCTAATATGATTATTGGTTGTTACTGCCATTCCCTAACACTCATGTATAATTTTCTAATTGAATAGGTCGCCGATGAATTTGTTAAGAGGCGGGAAGAGACTGAATGGTTAGTTGATACACTTTCTTTGTTCTTCTTGGTCTAGAGTGAAATTGACCCATAAGTATTTGCCGCTCACACATGTGAATCGTTGTGACAACAATTCGCAGGTTTGTTGAGGGGGATTTTGATACATATGTATCCCATATTAGGGAGCCACATGTGTGGGGAGGTGAGCCAGAATTGTTCATGGCATCCCATGTTCTTCAGTAAGTAACTGTACATGTTTTTCATTTACATGCATTTCAAATTTGATTGCCAGCAATCACTATCATTTAAGCCTACCACTTCTTTGCTAAAATGTATATCAGTGCAGTGTATTCATAAGCTGAGTAGTGTCAGAGGCAGAAAGAAAAATTGGAGCCTACTTTGTACTTGATTTTATGGAGAAAATTATTACTAGCTCCCATTTTTCTCTGATACTACCACCTTATACAATGACCTGTGCATTTATTTTTACTATCCTCATGTCAAATACAGACCCCTGGTACCAATTGAAATTTTCTTTAAAATAGATTAAATAGACTTGGGTCACTCGACCATAGCTAGTAATTTGTTGAGTTGATTAACAAAAAAGGGTTGTTGCCTTACTTTTATGAGTCAACAAGTTATGTGTGATCTATCTCTTGTTACAGATTAGAATAGTAAATAATTAGAACTGTAAGAGCATCATAACTTTGTTCACAGGATGCCAATAACGGTTTACATGCGCGATGAGGATGCTGGTGGTCTGATAGCAATTGCAGAATATGGCCAGCAGTATGGCAAAGAAGACCCAATCCAAGTCTTGTATCATGGTTTTGGCCATTACGACGCTATACAGATCCCAGCAAAGGTTGGTTCGAAGAGGAAGCTGTAGACATGGTGCGAGCTTGAGGTACTGACCCTGTTTATACAACCTTATTGAATATTCATGCTATATACATGTGAATGTGGAAGATAGCTATGATGAAAACATGAAATGGCATTTACTCACCATATGCATAAATGTTAGTACATGATTCAGTACTTCCCCAGTAACCGATGAATTAGGAGAACATGGCATCAGTAAATTGGTTTTTTTTTTTGTTAAATCTCCTTCCATATATCATCTATTCCCCCTTTATCAATAGATACAGAATTTCGTTATGCATCCATCGAACCTCCTACCTTTGGGAAATTTCTGAAACAGTAAGTTGCATGCAAGCATGAAATCTGTACTGTACCATCTTAAAGCAAGCTTTGAATGCTGAATTTGTACCATAGAGGTCCGTGTTACATATAGTACTATCTACCATGGCCTGAAAATTGCACTTGTAGTTCTGTAACTGGTACTACAATAGAAGATAGGGCCTCGTTTAGATTGATGTTTAGAATCAGTATTTGACACTGTAGCACTTTCGTTTATATTTGACAATTATTGTCCAATTATGGCCTAACTAGGCTTAAAAGATTCGTCTCGTAATTTACAATCAAACTGTATAATTAGTTATTTTTTTATCTACATTTAATACTCCATACATGTGTCCAAAGATTTGATGTGATGGAGAGAGAGTGAAAAAACTTGCAATCTAAACAAGGCCTAGAAGGGGCCCCATTTATCATACTCTGATTGCATTTTGGCTGCAAGTATATGCATTTAAAACTAGGGCTAAACCACACAACTCACCGGTTGGTCCAGACGTCCAGTACATGTGTTTGAATGAGCATGTGAAGAGCACCTCGACAGTTGAGTCTGACACTCTGGCTTGAGGAATTGAATTTGCAACAGAATCCGGCGTGGTTCTCCAACTGGAATCATAGCCTCGTTCTCACAGCAAACATTGCATCACCCCACCCCACGCAAAAAAAAAAAAAAAAAAAAAAAAAAAAACTGAGGTCCTTGGATTATGGAAGCATCAGCGTACATTCATAGAACTGAAACGCTGTTGCTTCCATGGTCAGATGTTTTCTCATGCATGGATATCTTCTCCTGGAACTACTAGATAGCACATAAAGCTTTGCTGTCAAACTTTCGATTGCAGGGATTGCTGCAGAAGGGTTTGGTTTGAAGTTTGGTGGAGTGACTCCATCGTCAGGCGGAGACTCCTCGGATTAAGATGATAAGAGATGCTACTGTAAATGATGTAGGAAGTAGCCTGCTCGATGTATGACACGCATATGAAGCTGCTGAAAGAACAGGGGCCTGTTGCTCGATCTCGCCGTGAGGGTGTGGAACATCTATCCGAGATCCGGCAATGGAAAGGTCCCTAGTAGAGAGAGAGATGAACGAGTCCTTGCACAGTAGTCATCATCTGTAAGACTGTAACCTGAGATTATCATCTGCTGGAGTGGTAATTCCAACCATGCCGGCTGCACACGTCCACTCGAAATATACTCTTGTCTCGTCGATCGGCGCGGTGCGCCCCACGGCACGGCACGACGACGACTTGAACAGTGTTTGTTTCGGTTTTGTTGTTGCATTGGCATTTCATGCACGATGCGGTGCGTGCGTCGTACGGCCAAAAGGCGGGCCGCCGTGGCCGAGCTGTCGTGCTGTGTTGACAAATTTGCAAAGCCAAAGCACACGGCCCTCTTTCCGTTTGTCCTGCGATAGTGCGATGCCAAGGCTAAAAAAAGCAAAGCAACCTGCTCCCTCTCCCTCCGTGGCTCGCGGTAGCCGTCCCACAAAATGTTCGGTTGACTGGATCGTGGTTTGTGGTGGAGAAAAATACTCTTTCGACTGAAAATTTATGATCGTTTACGACAAGCCACAGCCAAATAAAAAGGCTGCCGGTATAGAAAGAGTGCAATTGCCTCCTTTCAAATAAGTCAATAATATCGATTTTAAATTTTACTAAATTTATAAAAGCACATATTTAGGTTCCTAAATAAATTCGCCATGGAAATATATATTTAATGTGATTAACCTATAATATGCTTGTTTGGTGTATTTTTCTTTTTATGATTTCATCGAATTCTTTACGACGATTGCATTTTGGTTGAGGAGTGACTGAGGGAGGGAGGGAGGGAGGGAGGAGCCCTGTACGTAGGCAGCGGCCTAGCAAACCGCCCATCTCTTGCCTCGTTTTGATTGTAAGTTTTTTTAGCTCTCTCTACGTCGCATCAAATCCACATGCATGGAGTATTAAATGTAGATAAAAAAATAACTAATTACATAGTTTGATTGTAAATTACGAGACGAATCTTTTGAGCCTAGTTAGACCATGATTATATAATAATTGTTAAATACAAACAAAAGTGCTACAGTGTCAAATACTAATTTCTAACCCAATATAATCAAGGCCTCTATCCTGATTCTGATCGTTGGGTTTCCCGTGCCAAGTTTCCCCTTTCACGGTGCGGATGCGGACTCAGACGGGGACGGCTCAGGGCGAAAACGTCCAGCGTCCGGCAGTCCGGGCCTGGACAGTGGCTTGTGCTTGTGCTGCTGCTGTCCACCGCCTTCTCTTCTCTTTGGCTCTTGCGGCGCGACACTGAAGTCGCGGTCGCTACGAATTTGAAACAGCGTCACGACATCGGGCCTCTCGGTATTCTGATAAAGGGCATGTTCGCTGGTCGGTGCTGGTTTGGGTTGGTACTGGTTTAGATTGGTTGGTGCTGGTTTGGGCTGGTTGATGCTGGTATTGGTTTGGGCTGGCTGAACAAGCGAACAGGTCGAAAATACTCCCAAATTCGAGTCAAAGCGCCATGTGCCACTGCCAGATTTCCAACGGGGACGCCGAACCAGGTCCACCGCCGACCCCACCGCGCAGCGTCATCCGCACAAAGCCAGCAGCGCCCATTTCACCATTATTATTACCAGACTCCTACTACAGGAGAAGCTTGGGGATTAGATTAGAGTAGTCATGGGGATCAACGATAACTCTTGAGATTTCCCACATGCAAACACGCTCAATTTAACTTTACTTTCCCAAAAGTCGCCCTTCCCGACCAACGTATCAAATGCTTCGAAATCGAATCCTCGCCCACCTCACCACCAGGCCTCCAGCGCGACTCCCCACTGCATTCATTTCAAATCCCTCTCCCCAAACTACCCCTGCCTTCCCCCATAAACCGTCACCCTCCCGGCTGGTCTTTCCGTCATTTCGCCGCTAAATCTCAGTCACCTAAACCCACACCCACACCCCACACCCCACGCCCCACGCCTCGCTCGCTCCCCTCTTCTGGCTGCTTCCTCCCTTCTCCCCTCCCCTCTTCCCTTCTCTGCACCTGCGACCCTACGGAGTCCCAGGGAATGGCAACCCTGTGATTCCCACCACCAGTCACCACCACCACCACCCCGCATTACCAGTGTGCGCGCTCGCTCCAGGCAATGGCGGCGGTTCTGACGGTCCTGGTGGCGGCAGCCACCGCCGCCTCCACCGCGGCGGCGCTCAACACGGACGGGCTAGCGCTGCTGGCGCTCAAGTTCGCTGTATCAGACGACCCGGGTAACACGCTCTCCACGTGGCGGGACGCGGACGCCGACCCCTGCTTCTGGGCGGGCGTCACCTGCGCCTCCTCCCCCTCCGGCGCCACCGGCCGCGTCTCCGCCGTCGAGCTCGCCAACGCTTCGCTGGCCGGGTACCTTCCCTCCGAGCTCTCGCTACTATCCCAGCTCCAGGAGCTCTCTCTCCCCTACAACCGGCTCTCGGGCCAGATCCCGGCGGCCGTGGCGGCGCTGCAGCGGCTGGCGACGCTGGACCTCGCGCACAACCTGCTGTCGGGCCAGGTCCCGCCCGGGATCGTGCGCCTCGTCTCGCTGCAGCGGCTCGACCTCTCCTCCAACCAGCTCAACGGGACGCTCCCGCCCGCGCTCGCCGCGCTCCCGCGGCTCTCGGGGGTGCTTAACCTCAGCTACAACCACTTCACGGGCGGGGTCCCGCCCGAGTTCGGCGGGATCCCCGTCGCTGTCAGCCTCGACCTCCGCGGGAACGACCTGGAGGGCGAGATCCCGCAGGTCGGCTCGCTCGTCAACCAGGGGCCCACCGCCTTCGACGGCAACCCGCGGCTGTGCGGGTTCCCGCTCAAGGTCGAGTGCGCGGGCGGGGCGAGTGCGGAGGACGGGCCGAGGATCCCGGACTCCAGCGCCGCCGGAGGCGTCACCGACCCTAGCGCCGCGGCAGAGGTCCGGAGGCCGGGAGGTCCGAAGCGGCGGCGGTCGTCGCCGACGGTGCCGGTCCTCGCCGCCATTGTCGTGGTTGCCATCGTCGCTGGCGTCGCTCTGCAGTGGCAGTGCCGGAGGCGGTGCGCGGCCGCGGGCGGGGACGAGGAGAAGGAGTCGGCCAAGGAGAAGGGATCGGGGGCGGTGACCCTCGCCGGCAGCGAGGACCGGCGTAGCGGCGGCGGGGGAGGGGAGGAAGGGGAGGTGTTCGTGGCCGTGGACGATGGCTTCGGGATGGAGCTGGAGGAGCTGCTCCGGGCCTCCGCCTACGTCGTCGGCAAGAGCCGCGGCGGCATCGTGTACCGCGTCGTCCCCGGCCGTGGACCCGCCGTCGCCGTCCGCCGCCTCAGCGAGCCTGACGACGGCGACAGCGACGGCTCCAGCTGGCGCCGCCGCCGCGCGTTCGAGGCCGAGGCTGCCGCCATCGGCCGCGCGCGCCACCCCAATGTGGCTCGCCTCCGCGCCTACTACTACGCCCCCGACGAGAAGCTGCTCATCTACGACTACCTCCCCAATGGATCCCTCCACTCCGCTCTCCACGGTAACAAAAATGTCCCGTCGGCCGCCTTTTGCTAGCAATGCATTGTACTAGTACAGTATCCTATATCCAAGAAGAGGCTAACACCGGCGAGCCTTCAGGTGGCCCGACGGCGTCGCCGACGCCATTGCCGTGGTCCGTGCGTCTGTCCATCGTGCAGGGCGCGGCGCGCGGGCTGGCGTACCTGCACGAGTGC